AATTTTCCCCGTGAGAACATCATGAGATACCAGATCAAAGGCCTTTTGGGAGTCTAGGTACACAATGTCAACCTCCTCTCTCTTATCCAGGTGGCAAGTTACCCGGTCATGGAAGGAGATGAGATTGATAAAGACAAGACCTGTCTGCAATGAAGCCATGCTGACTGTCATTCAGAATCCTACCTTCTGCAAACATATTGCACACAGACTCCTTGCTGAATTTTTCCAGGATTTTCCCTGGGATAGAAGTCAAGCTAACTGGCCTATAGTTGCCTGGATCCTCTCTCCTCCCCTTCTTGAAGATGGGCACAACCTTGGCCCCCTTCCAGTCTTCGGGGACCTCCCCCAAGGGCGAGTTTTGGAAGAGTTTCGCCAGAGGTCCTGCAATGACTTCAGCCAGCTCCTTCAGCACCCTCAGATGAAGTTAATCCAGTCCTACTGACTTATAAATGTCTAACTTTTCTAACTGATCCTGCACCAGGTCAACGTCAACAATAGGAAGGCAGTCATTCCCACCATGCCCATTCTGAACCTTATCTAACGTGATTTTCCCCTTAGTCTGGTGAAATACCGAAGCAAAGTAGTCAATCAGGAGTTCAGCTTTCTCCTGAGTGTCTGTAACCAGCTGTCCTCAGTTGTTAAGCAACGGCCGCATGCTTTCATTTGTTTTCCTCCTGTTCCCTACATACCTAAAGAAGGACTTTTTATTGTCCTTGAATTCAAATTAGCAACAGAAATAAGTCGCCACCTTAGCCTTTCTAACCTTTTCCCTACAAGTGTGGGCTGTTGTTGTATAGTCCTCCTTGAGGACTGTCCCAAGCTTCCACAGTTTGTATGCCTCTTTCTTCTCTCTCAAAAGGACCATGATATCCCCATTAAGCCAGGAGGGCTTCCCAGCCCTTCTGCTACCTTTCCTCTGCATGGGAACAGTATTCTATTGTGCTTTGAGGATCATGTCCTTGAAGAATGACCACTCTTCATGCACTCCTTTTACCCTTGGTCCTTGGTCCCACAGCACTTCCCCTACTATTGCCCTGAGCCTGGTGAAATTCCTTTTGATGTCCAAAACTTCAACCCTGCTAGCTGATTTGCCTGCCTTGCAATGGACAGTGAATGTGATGGTCTCATGGTTGCTATAGCCTAGGGTACGCTCTATATTCAAGTCAGTCACCAGATCATCTCCTCTGGCCAAGACCAAGTCTAAGAGAACATTACCTCTGGTTGCACCGTGCACTACCCAAGTCAGTTAGAGCTCTTCAAGACAGGTCAGGAAGCAAGGTGACAAATCAGACTTAGCCAAGTGTTCTTCCCAAGCGATGTTTGGGTAATTGAAGTTGCCCATGACGACCATGTCCTGTGCACATGCAGCCTCTGCCAGGTCAAGAGAACTCCAGATCGAGCTCCTCCCCCTGGTTTAGTAGTCGACAGTTAGGTCTCTCTTGTTGTTCCCCCCCCACCCCCCCCCAGTAGTTTGACCCGGAGGGTTTCAGGCCGCTTTTCTTTCGA